TGGCTGGGCACCGGGGATGCAAGGCAGGAAACCTCAGGGCCATGGGCTCTAGGGCGTGGGTGGGGGACCTGCCGTCTAAGTACTTGGACCCCACATCATACCAGCTGGGGGGTGAGGGTGGAAAAGGGGAGTTGCCATCTGGGGCCCATCAGCCCCTGAGTCCATTCCTGCTGAGTGGAGGGAAATGGGTCAGCCGCTAAGAGGAAGGGCCCAGGTTGGGACTTGTGTTGTGGAAAACCCGGCCTCATCTCAGTGTCTCTCTGTACCAGGAGTGCTCCTGTGTCTGGTTGGGACCTTCACAAGCCCCAGGCTCACAGACTCTCTTGCCTGCTGTCCGTCAAAGCAATGCCACCACCACCCCCTCTCGCTTCCCGTCCAGGTGAAGGAGCTGGAGGAATGTTCCTCTTTGTCTAGGTGCCCACCATGGCTGGGGCACATCTGGGCACTGGTACAGCCTGGAGCTGTGCACATCTGGGGCAGAGCTGAGTCCTGATGCAGTTTGGATGCTCCCCGGCCCTGCTCCGTGCATGCAGCAGATGAGGTGTGTGGTGGGGCTGAGACATCCACTGAACCAGCTTTGCTGGCCTCTTCCTCCAGGTGCCCAGGTCGGAGCAGAGATGGGGGTGGGAGGGACACCTCCAGTGTGATGTTTCAACCTGCCAGGTGGGGTCCCAGCCATCTCTATTCCTGGAAACCCCATTGTGACACTTTATACCTTGGGGGAGCGTCCTGTAACCCCCACACTCCTCATTTTTATATAATTGTGATCTTATATATAAATCATGCCTTGTAAGGTATCAGGGGAAAGGTTATGATCTGCCAAAAGTCATTTCTCTATCCATATATGTATATCATTTATGCATGAGCAGTTATGAGAATTGCATTGTATGGTTGTCACTAAAACATGCTGTAAGTTGGGGGATCAGTCCAATATTAGCTCCCCAGAGGCAACAGCAAGGAAAGTAACCAACGCCCGGGCGGGGTGTCAAACAACCCATCAACAGCCATTGTCCAGCAACGGAGCTACAATGCAAAGACTCGCCTGCATGAGGCCACACCAGGGGAATTGCTCAGCCCAGCCTGGAGACTCGCAATGCCCCCGGACACGCCTGGACTTGTGTTTTCCAAGCACATGGACTGAGGGTATAAAACAGACACAGTGGCCACATGCTGGGCCTTTCTCCTTCACCCGCCTACGCTGCAAGCAACAAAGACACTCAGAAGAAGACTTCAGACTCCAACAGAGGAGGCTGGCCCAGATTTCATGGGTGAAATCTGTGCACTATGAACTGCAATATCCAGTGGGGTGAGAAAAATGGCTTAATTTAGATGTTGCCCAGTCTAATAGGGATGAAGGTTTAGACTGCGTGCTTATTTTTAATTTTATTTTAGTAACTAACTCTGACTTTTTGCCTGTTACTTAATATCAGTTAAAATCTATCTTTTGTAGTCAATAAATGTAACTGTTTATCTTTACCAGTGAGTTTGCCTGAAGTGTGGGGCAAATCTGCTCAATTTTGCAAAGGCTGGTGTATATCCACTTTCCATTGATGAAGTGTTGAACCAATTAATAAATCTGCATTGCTCATCTTGAGCAGTGCAAGACGGTATGTTCCTGAGGTGCAGTGCTAGGCTCTGGGACGATCTGGCTGGGGCCTTTCTCTGTGTGATTCATGAGTGGCTCCGGGAGCATTCATGCAATACAGCTGGGTCTGGGGCTTCTTCACAGAGACTGTAGCATTGGAAAATAATAAGAGTAAGTTCTGCCTGGAGGGAGATCTCAAAGCAGGCTCGACTGGTTGTTCATTTCTCTGTCCATCTTTCCTTTGCAATATCCAGCTGTTGGTCTTTTCATCTCTCACATCCCTCCCTCCCTCCCTCCTTCCATCCTGCTTCAACATCTATCCATCATTGATCCATCCCTCCTTTTACAATATCTATCCATCATCCATCCTTCTGCAATATCCATCTGTCTGCCTTCTCGTCTGCCATCCACCATCGTTCCGCAGTATCTATCCATCATCTGTCTACCCGTCCTTCTGCAATACCTATGTCTTCTCATCTACCATTTCTATCCATCCATCCCCAATATCTGTGCATCTAGCTCTCCATCCACCCTTCTGCAATAGCCATCCATCTGTAGCCTTTTTATTTTATTTAAAGTGAATTTTGTACTGTAGTATTACATCACCGTGGGTTTGGCACTAGTGGCCACAGTTTCAAGCTCACAGAGTGAAAGTCACCTCTGATACTTCAGATTTAGAGTCTCTAGGAACACATAAAGACCCAGGGTCATGACCACACACACATTTCACAAGGACAAGGTCTAGTCTCTTTTAGAAGTTTTATAAAGTTACAGTTAAAGTTATGATTACCCAAGCATGTAGAAATTCTATACAGACCTAGGCACATGTTACATATATAGTTACACTCAGATTCTTAATGATATTCTTAAGGTCTGATGGCTGGCTGGCCAAATGGTCATCAGTAGAGGGATGGTTCCTGCTGGGGTTTCCCATAGGGAAGTTAATTTTCCTAATCTGGGCACCCTATTTTTATAATGTGATTCCGACTTCCTCATTAGCATTTAGGCACATACTGCAGCCTGCGGTTAGGGTATGTGTTAGAAAAATAGCACTACTGGGAATCTTGTAAGCAAAAAATTACTCCTAATGTTAATTTTTCGCAATATCACCCATGGGTACATCTTTTCCCAATAGCTTGTGGCATAGGGTCTGTGATTAATAAAGTGTGTGGGGGGGAGCTCCCTTTGATGGACACCCAACCAGCCAGTTAGCAGTAAAATCCCTCTTGGTAGCTGTTCTCTACTTGCTGCTTTACTTGTAAAGGGATAAAAAGTCCCCTAGGTAAAGGAAAAAAAAGTGGACACCTGACCAAAAGAGCCAATGGGAAGGCTAGAACTTTTTAAAATTGGGAAAGAAACTTTCCCTTTGTCTGTTGTTCTCTCTGGGCTGCAGAGACGGAGCAGCAATGCTATAAGCAGCAATGCTGTGTAAGGTTGAACCACGTATGAAAAAATATCTTCCATACCTAGAAGGAACCGTTTGGATAAGGAATGTTTAAGTAAACACAATCAGGTTTATTTCTTTATTTTGGCTTGTGGATCTCCTCTGTGCTAACCCCAGATGCTTTTGTCTGCTTGTAACCTTTAAGACGAACCCCCAAGAAAGCTATTTTGGGTGCTTAATTTTTTTTTGAATTGCTCTTTTTTAAAATCTAGCAAAAGCCTAAGTTCCAGATGTATTTTCTTCCTTTTTGTTTTTAATAAAATGTACCTTTTTTAAGAGCAGGACTGGATTTTTGGTGTCCTAAGAGGTTTGTGCATATGCTGTTTGATTAGCTGGTAGCAACAGCTAATTTCCTTTGTTTTCTTTCTCAGCGCTTCCCCTGGGGATTGGGGGTGGGGGTGAAAGGGCTTGAGGGTACCCCACAGGGAGGAATTCCCAAGTGTTCCTTCCTGGGTCCAAGGGTTTTTTTTGCATTTGGGTGGTGGCAGCATTTACCAAGCCAAAGTCAGAGAGAAGCTGTAATCTTGGGAGTTTAATACAAGCCTGGAGTGGCCAGTATTAATTTTTAGAATCCTTGCAGGCCCCACCTTCTGCACTCGGAGTGACAGAGTGGGGAATCGGCCTTGACAGGGTCATTCTTTGGTCACTTACTTATGTCAAGAATTTCTTAAGCCTATGCGTAGTATGGCTAAGCTAAAATTGTACAGACCTCAGCCTGCAGGCCTTGCGTTTCAAACTTCCTTATTTAGATACCTAATAGCAAATTATCGCTTCTATTACTGATCAATTTTATACTTCTATAATCCAACAATTTAACTCTAGTTAGCATACAATGATTGTATACGATATTACATGTTAGTTAATCATAACAAAAATAAATGGACAGTAAATCAAAATCATTGGCTACACATCCATCCATCCAGCTGCAATACCCAGCCAGCCATGGCTCTGCAATGCCAGCTCTCTCTCCAATCATGCTAGAGGAGATGGATGATCCCCTCTAAGGCTTCAGCTTGCGCAAAGTTTTCTTGATCCAGGAGACATATTTGAAGACCTTGGTGAACAGCCTGGGTGGTGACCCATCAGCGCTGCCATGGGAGACTATGCCCTGGGTCTTCCCTTTACAGACCAGGGGGCCCCCGGAGTCACCCTGAGAAGCAAACACCAGACATGGGGTTACAGAAGTCCAAGAGAAGGGCAGGCTGCATTCTGTATTCACCGTCCTGAAATCCAGCTCTGTATCCACCGGCCTGGGGACTCACGGTTAAGTCACTCCTGGGACACACCTGGGCCTCCCACCCCCCGGTCCAGGGATCCAATCTACCCCTGTCCCTGATTTCTAGGATCTGGCCAGTTCATACGTCTGATTTCTTGTATCCATCCCTCATGTCTTTAATCTGCTCAGCTCTCATACCTGATTCCAAATCCTGATTTCCAGCATCTGGCTGACACCTGCCCTTGATTTCTAGGACCTCCTGCTGATTTCTCAGATCCACCCCTGGGTTCTTGATTCAGCAATTCCCCTCTCTGACTCCTAGGATCCAGCTGATTCCCAGCCCTGATTTCCAGAATCTGTCCCTCACTAGTAAGATCCATGTGGCTGATTCTTGTCCCTGATTCTAGAACCTGTTGAACATGCAGCAGATTTCTGTCCCTGATTTCTATGATCTTGCCAGTTTCTGTATCAAATTATTAGGATTCATTCCCCATTTAAAAGATCTGCCTGTTTCTTGCCCCTGATTTCTAGCTTCCATCCATGATTCCCAGGATCTGGCCCATTCCAGTCGCTCATTCCCAGGATCTGCCTGGCTCACCATGGATCCTGGCTCTCCCCATTCTGCCCAGCCCTGTCAGTCTCCTGTTATAGCAGCACCTTACCCCGGGCCCCAGGTGCCCCGTCCCACACTCACCCGGAAGGACGCCCTCCTCTCCTTGGGATCCCCCACGCACAGCATCACGGACGGGTCATAGCGCAGATAGGGTCGGGACAGACAGATGTCCTTGCTCATCACCGTCAGTTCCACCTCCTGCAGGGTCTGGAAGGACTGGGCATTTACCTTGCTACTAGTCTGGCCCCAGCCGGCCACACTGCACACAGCCCCCGGTTTCACCTTATTCCTGGGTAAGAGGATGGTGTCCACAGTCTCGGTCAGATTGGCTTTGCGCCTCAGCTGTGATCGGGGTGAGAAAAGGGAAATCAAACTCCTCTTGGGGGATGGATCTGCCCCCAGGGGATGGGGCCAGATGGGACCAGATGGGGCATCCCTGTGAAAACTGCACAAAACTGTGATGCCATGTGCTCACTGGGGGCCGGGGGGTGGGATGGAGGCAGTACCTGCAGCAGTGTGAGGTCACTGGGGGCGGGGTGATGAGATGGGGGTGGTACCTGCAGTAGTGTGAGGTCACTGGGGGCGGGGTGATGAGATGGGGGTGGTACCTGCAGTAGTGTGAGGTCACTGGGGGCGGGGTGATGAGATGGGGGTGGTACCTGCAGTAGTGTGAGGTCACTGGGGGTGGGGTGATGGGATGGCGGCTGTACCTGCAGTAGTGTGGGTTCATTGGGGCAGGTGATGTAAGTAGGGTGGTCCCTGCAGCAGCATGATGTCATTTTCATCTGTTTCACCGTTGTATTGTGGGTGGGAGATTCGATGACGTACCCGGATCTCCTGCATGATCCCAGGTTCATGTACAGAAATGTTGTGGGCCCCCAGGAGCACAGTGATGGTGCTGGGAAATACAAGGGGATGCGGACAGGTGAACACTCTGGATTCAGTCATGGGTCGTTAACCTCGTTAAAGTGGGTGTGTGTAGACGCTGCCTGGCACTCAGGATGAATGTACAGAAACCAGCGCTCCAGCGTTTTTCACCGTCAGGGGGTGCTGGCTTTGACCTAGAAGCAGGGAAGGGGAATTGATGCCTCAGGGACAGGGGATCCTGCATTTCTTACCCAAAGTTGCAGTTACAATGAGCTGCCGTCACCACCACATCATCCCGGATCAGGAACCCTCCACACATTCTTCCTCCTTTTCTTTCTGTCTCTATCTTCACAAAGGCCATGTAGGGTCTGGAGTGAGGCCGGGCTTCCTGTCCCCCGATGATCTCCCCTGGCAGAGCCCCCAAGAGAAGGAGTTAGTTCAGGCCCCCAATACAGCTAGCGTGTGTATCTGTCCACCAGCCAGGG